GCATTCAATGAAAATCAGTGAGATTCAAAAAGGCTGCTATAATCAGACATTTTTTTAACATATGTATTTGGAAATGGGCTAAATAATAAAATTCAGCTAAGATATCTTTTCTTGACACACCTCATTAATATATTATATTCCATTATCTTTCTTGAAACAATGTGACATTGCATAGCTGGTATACTTTTGAACATTAGAGAGCAGAAAATAGTATGTAGTCTTTTTCCACACCCCCCCTCTTCCTCTCCATGGTAGAATAAACTTGCTCACCTTTGAAAAGAACTTTAAATTATCACTCGATAGTTTTAGTGTAAAAGATATTTTTCTATTTCTTAGGTCAGTCACCTTGCAACAATATAGCAAGATCAAAGCAAAGTATTCATACATTAAGCATCCAGCTTAGGAACTTGTACTAGGAATCTGAACTTCCGACACTGTCACTAAAGATTTTATAACATGCAAGAGAAAAAATGCCCTCTAGAGAAATACACTGATTTAATAGCATTCTAAATCAGGAATCTAAGCTAGATGTTAATGTGAGACGTATCAAGACTACTTGAGAGTTAAGGTAGCTTCTCTTCTCTTGACTATTTCCCACTCAGCTTTTGTCAGCCTGTCTGCTAACTTCTCCACAAATCCACTGTCTGCAAAGCTGTGCTGACATAAAGCAAGGTAATACGCTTCTATTTCTTCCACCTTGCAACTGAAATTGAACACTGACATCAGCAAATAGGAACATTTGCTCTGCTTTGTAACTGAAACCATTTGTTCAACAGCTTAAGTATGAGTAACTGTTAAAGCTTTATATTGTACAACAGTGCAATATTGTTAATACCATGATAGCATACAGATGTCACAATGTTGAAACAGAAAAATGAAAGACAGAAAGAAGTAATGAGAAATCCAGAACTTGAGTAAGATGAACAATATATGACTGTTGAAGCAAAAAATAGAAGCGTCTGTAATAACATATGTATCTGAAAGAAATAAGGTAAAGTTATTAATAAATTAAAGTGCTAAGCCAGTATTCCGGTCCTGTTCCTAGAGAATTCCAACTGGCTAAGGCTCTGGAAGCGTGGGTGCTCTGGAACCACCAATAGGACTTTGATTTGAAATCCTTTCTTTCTGTGCACACATTGTAAATTGCTAGCGAGCTCCCTTAAAACAAAAAAAATCCCAAATGACTCAAAGAAAAAGAACTCTCCCTTTCACTTTTGGCATGCTTCTCAAAAAAATAAGCAAAACCAAACAAACCCTCCACCCCCCAAAAAAATATTAATTTGAATGCCTTTTAATTCTATTCTAAAGCATAATACAGAAGCCTGTGAGAGTATATTTTCCTTCTATTTGGGATGCATGACATTATTTTCTATATTAAAAAAGAAAAAAAAAAAAGTCCAAATCAGTGGGGTTTTTTGTTGTTTTGTTTTTCCTAAAAAAGAAACTAATTCTGCAGCTCAAAGAAATATTTAGAGATCAGCCCTTTACAGCTGAGGAAGTAGATGGTAAGATCCAAAGCAAGCAATTCAGATTCTGGAAGCATTTTATGAACTACATTCTGAACTACTTATGTAGTCTAGCTGAATTTTTTTTATGCAAGCTTTGTTGTATTATAATTTAGCATTGACAAAAAAAGTCAAGAGCATTTGTTTTCCATTTTGTTTTAAATTTATGGAATGACAACGTGACATTGCAGTGGTTATAAGGACTGCCTATTTGACAATTTTTTTTTTCTCTTTCATTAAATGAATAATAATGAAAAAAAAATCTCTGAATACACTATGATTTAAATGAGGAAAAAACAATGAAGAACAAACTACCGCTTATTCACAGACTAACTTCAAACACCTAGCAATCTAAAGTGCATTGAGTGGCACACTGATTTCATTTGGAATGCCCTGAAACTAAACAAGTGCAATTGAACTCATTATTGTAAGAAATTTATTGCATTTCTTGACTTAGCAAGTCAACGAACATACAAAGTATCATTGTAACATAACATTTATATTTATTTGCAGGGCAATCACTAACACTTCCTGCAACATATGTAGAGAGCAAAAAAGCCATGCATTACCATAATTTATTAATTTATCAGGCTATACACACATGTCATTGGACCCAGTTTCATTTTGGCATCCATTTCCTACTGAAAAGTGTCTGAGACTTGTGCAGAAACTACAAAATAAATACGAACTTAATGCATTGAGTTTTTCATTGTCATGCTTTGCAACTTTGAACGTGTGCACAGAACAAAAGAATACATCTTTTAAAATGGCATAGAATGCTTTTGAATTATTATTTTTGCTCTGCAATCCCTTGAAATATGTGCTATGAACAAGTATTAAAACACAACCATTTTTTATGAGATATATTTAGTAACACTTCTCCTTACTAGTAAATTACCTTATTGGTAATAAATTCAATCATGGTAAGATTTTATTAAAGTTTAAGAACATTGAAAAGAAATATGTAAACTTGGATTATTTATATATCTATATCTATACGCATATACATATCGAGACACACTTTATTAAAGTTTAAACAAAGATATCCTAACTAAGCAGAAATGTCTAAATACTATTTGAAATCCATAATTATCCTAATAACAATTTCCTCTCTGGGCATATTAAACAAGCACCACTAAAAAAACAAACCAAAACAACACAAAAAAAGATTATACTGTTTGGAATCCCCTACAGTACCACTGCCCTAAGAACCACTCTTGGGTGGCAGTTCCAAATAAAGTGCAGAGCTGTATGTTGCATTATCACCTAGATAATGTTTCTTTTCCTGATCTATTATAACAATCTGATGCATATGTCTCCTGATAATTATAACATTCTAGATTTCACTGCAGATGCAAAACTAGATGCAAACCACAACACAGACATTTTCCAGTAACTGTAAAACATTATATTATCAGCCCTCATCCAGGTCAATACTTCTGTTTGGATTATCACTTTTACATTTGTTTTTATGGAATAAACACTCTAGATAATGGATAGCTTCAAACTTGCAAGGCTAGTCTCAATAAACAGAAGTGACATAAACATTTGCTGTGTTATGCACTGATAGACTCTAACTGAAGACAGAACACTTACATGTTACCTGTTGATATTCATAAACGCTCAGGATATTTATGGACAGGAGATTCATACAGATGTAAATCAATATGGCCATAAATACTATTGCCATATGAAAGGGAGCTCAAATGTATATGTGTTCAAAACCACAAAAAGACATTTTCACTGCAATTATTACTTTTTATACTATAATTTCATTATACTTTCATTTGGGTGTTTAGTCCACATCAGTTGTTTACCTGTGAAAACTCTCCTTGCAAGAAGATAAACAAAACGGATAAAAAAGCAGGTCTTCAGCATTTTACCCCACTTGAACTGTTTAAAAAAAGATTGACTTCTTTTTCATCATTCCATTCAACTTCAGCACACAGCATTAATAAGCCATTCTGACTCATGTATACAACAGTTATTCTCCAGCAGTATTTTCCGCTCTCTGCTTGAAACTAGGCTAGCCATTAAAAACTCTGTATATCCAATACTTTTTTCCATTTCAAGTCTATAATAAAAATAATGGTCTTTGAAGAAGACCATTATACAGCATTTATGACTGATGCGGTTAATTGTTTGAGGTTCTTCTTGTTTATTATTAATTCTCAGGAAAAATATTGTATCTCTGTCAGCAGCACACAAGTTTTTTCCTGCATTTTAATTGCAGAGCATGTGCTCCATTAAGAACTAATTTCTGAAACAATGAATACAGGCACTACATGAACTTGAGTAAACACAGTAAATGGTAAGTATAAAAATGTATGATTTTGTGTTGCCCTAATATAGCTGAGATCCTTGAAAGCTATTTCTCCTGTGTCTTATTGCAGCCAGTAACCAGTAGGATCTGAAGGGATATTTCTGGTTAGAATATTCTTCTGCTAACTGCCTATGTTGAAAATGACTCAGCTTAATGTTGTAAAAGGACTATGTACATAACGCTATCTAGCACCCCATTCTGATATAGATGTCATTTAGTTTCTGAATGAAAAAAAAAATCCCAAACAATCAAAATCAAGGATTAAGAATGACAAAAATCTACATGAGAAACTCAAGGTTCAAGATAGATTGTCCTCATGTCTCCAGAATCTCCTGGATGTCAGGGCAAGCTGTTAGCACTTGTAGTTTTCTTTTGGACCAGTTGCAAGGGAAATTAAAATAAGATTAAAAAGTCTCACAGATTCAACTTAGTTACCATTAATATAGTAACCAAACAAAAGCTCCAGGCAGTTACTACCTACTTCATGCAGCTAAAGCACAGATATTAAATAGGTTCATCCTACAGAATCAATTAATTTTTCGAAACTGGGAATTGAATTTAGTTATGGTGAACATCTATAAGCAAGTAAATATTTCTACATTACACATAGAAAGTTCTTACATGCTGCACGGATCTGTTACAAAAAGCTGTAAGATGTTACAACGCTTAGGTGAATTCATTGTGCGTTTTCAATAGCATGCACAGTAAAAAAACCAAAAACCAAAAAGTGAATATTTGGCTTTTAAAACATTGATTAATTGTGTAACAGAAATGCAAGATTTCTCTTGGCATATGTTGAACTAACACTGCAGCAGGACACTTCTCGGCACAAAGAATATTTCTTGAATTGTACTCAGATCATATAACCAGTTTTGAGTGAGACTGTTTTATAATTCTGCACTATTATACAACACTCCTTTTTGCCTGGCATCTGACAGGCATTCCCAACCTTTGCATTTACTTCACTTCCTCAAAGCTGAGGCTGCAAAAACAAAGCCAGCAGCCTAGTACAGCTTTTCATGGAAAAATGCCATTCTAACCTGGCACCTAACTTTATTATTCACTCGGAGAAGTTTAAAACTCTGAGATGAATTTAAATGTTTATGCCAACAAAGAAACTGATTAGAAGTATCACCAAAAAAGAAGAAAATGAAAACAATGTAGGCCATTACTGAAGTAGCTCTTCTTGTGAAAGCTCTGAAGTTCTTTGCTTGCCAGTCACCAGCGCCAGCTCATCCTTCAACTCCTGGATCTCCTTTTTCAGTTGGACAATCATCTATGAACAGCAAGGCATAAACCAAGCATCACCTACAAATTAATAACTAGTTTATGATTATTACATTAGAAGGCTGAGTATAGGGAAATATTATACTTTGTTTTGCTCTTCTTTAAAAACAGTTCAAATGCCTCTAATACACCAGGCAATCTTTTTCCTTTTCCATTTATAAAACCAAGAAAAGTCTTCCAAAGTCAGTAAATTCTACGTGTTAGAAGACATGGCTGTCCAGACAGCGGTCAAAAAATTATTTGCAAAAGAGATAAAAAATTGCCATAGGAATAAAAAGAGCTTTCTGACTAGGTTTGCATGTTAGTAATGAAAAGACATTTAAAACAGAATCGATGTATTTGCTAAAGAAAGGACAACTACACACTCAAAGTGGTTTTTTCTTAACCTTCACTTCAGAAACAGCAATTCCAAAACAGTATCTTAGCATTTTAATCTTTTTCAGGTAACATTCCTTTCTTATTAGAATGATAGCATACTATAGTTGTAGGATGCATCAGTTGCTAAATGAATAGCACAAATCAAAATAATGTAATTAAATTGCATTAATGAATAGTAATGATTGAGAAAGTGACTTGGAGTATTGTACTAGATATTAAAATTCTAATAGCCCATTGGAAAAAATGTATGTATAAAACCATATTTTACAAATCATTAGCCTCCTAAGGCCAAATTCTACACTACAGGGATAACACGCAGATCCCTAAGTATAAAACACAAATGAGAAAGTTCTTGAATACTTATGATTGATCATTTTAAGGATGCACTGCCTTATAATGGCTCAAATGTAGGAGGAGTCCACTGGTATTTGTAGATGGATAAGAATACACTGATGCCATGTGCAAAATAAGTTTCCAATAGAACGATGCTTTCAAGGAAAAAGGAATAATTTTTTATTGCACATACTTTCTAGAAATAAGATGGGTGAAATTAATGACTTATTTTCTCTGAATGTTAAAATTCCTTCAAACTTTTTTATTTCTTTTAATGTTTAAATATTACAATTACTTCGTAAACATTGAATGGGTATTTTTATTTCAAAAATAGAAAATATTCCCCACACAAATGATTATTTCTTTGAACTCTAAACTTACTGATAACATATTTGTTACTGTAAAAAATTAAAAGCTGATTTATACCATTTTATGTAATAATGTATTAAGGTGGTAAACTGTCAATTACAGATGTTGCAAGAGTGCTTCAAGAGTATTGTAGGCCAAACATTTTAACTTGATTTTAGGTTGTTTCACTCTGGTGCCACATTCTGATGCAGCCTGTGGCAATTGTTGAGTCAATAAAATAAAATTTGGGGTTGAAGTTTAAATAGGCAGAAAGCTGAACTGATAGCACCACCCCTGTTCAAGTCAAATCTGTTAGCGTGATTAACCTCAATCTGACAAGAACACAAATACAATTTTCAGGATATGGATAAAAGATTGATTTTCAAGAATTAGGAAGTCAAACAAAAATATACAGAAGAATTATATATATATTTATATATATATATATTTTATTTTTTTTTAATGAATGCCAGAGGAGATTACATTTAATTTTGGCTCAACTGTTTTGATTTCAGTTTAAACCAAATCCTTTAGTCATGAGTGAGAGAGGTTCACAGATGAGCTGCTTAAAAAGTATAATGGGTACAAGTTCATCTTTTTAGTCAGATACACAGTCAGGAAGTCTCCATTGTGGAAAATAAAGTTTACAGAACAGTAATTAGATCTACTGAGACTATTGAGAGGTATTATGCAGTCCCTTTGCAAAACATGCATTCTACTTAGAGGTGATAAATACTGCTAATAAATGGCATTTGATTTTATTAAAAAAATCATGAATAAAGCCTCTGTCCAATAGTCCCCTAACACTCCCCATAAATAACTAAATTCCTGATTGACATAAGAATTATATATATATTTATATATATATATATTTTATTTTTTTTTAATGAATGCCAGAGGAGATTACATTTAATTTTGGCTCAACTGTTTTGATTTCAGTTTAAACCAAATCCTTTAGTCATGAGTGAGAGAGGTTCACAGATGAGCTGCTTAAAAAGTATAATGGGTACAAGTTCATCTTTTTAGTCAGATACACAGTCAGGAAGTCTCCATTGTGGAAAATAAAGTTTACAGAACAGTAATTAGATCTACTGAGACTATTGAGAGGTATTATGCAGTCCCTTTGCAAAACATGCATTCTACTTAGAGGTGATAAATACTGCTAATAAATGGCATTTGATTTTATTAAAAAAATCATGGGTCCAGCACTTTACTGAATAAAAAGTTGCACCTTGGGAATGTACTTTAGGTAGTTAAGATGAGCAACAAATTGCACAAAACTGCGCAACAAGCCCAGAACCATACAATGTCTAGTTACCCATGTTCCCCTGCTGTTTCTAAAAGGGGATGGTTTTCTAACTCTCAAGAGTCCACTTATGCTTTACTCGCTAAATGATCCTGCATAGCAAGACATACCACACTCATGGAATATAGCTCCACAGTATCTAATACATATTCAGGAGCCTGCAAGTGTTCCACCACAACTGCAAGTTTCTGTAGCCATGGAAGAAATTATATGTGTGATTTGCTGCTATTACCATTAGGAAAAAGGGAAGATAAGTAAATGGGATGTAGCAGAAAAAGTAAATAAACAAACAAAAGCATCTACATCTACTAGGACTTAGATCACAGAGCACATCTTCAAACAAATCTGGTAACAAGCTAGAAGGATATAAAATCTTTCAAAGAATAAAGTAAATTTTTGTTATGCACATTGAAAGAAGAAACTTGTTTTCTTTATGAGGCAATGCTTTGTGCTGTACCAAGGTGGATTGTTACCTCTGTCCTTCTCCATACTTCCTAAATCCCTGATCCATTCTGCAGAGCTCCTCTACTGCTCTTTGGGATGTGAACATCAGGTGAATGTTTTAGTGTGAAAACCTTATTTCTACATCTCATTTCCTTATCTTTTCTTTTTCTTAATGGTAATTTTACCATTAACTGAAGAACCAAAGTTCTTTCTTCCTAGCTGAAATGTTCCCTGGATCAAACTCAAGGAAGGACTGTATTCGTATTTTTCTTGGCTTTTTAATACACAAGCAGTTTCAGTGCAGCAGTGTGTCTTCATCAAAGGACTAGCAATCTTAGTGTACTTTTAAAGAGGTTTTGGGACAGACAATTATCCATTACTACGATTTAGAAACTAAAAACCCAAGAGAAGCAACAGAAAGATGATAATGAAAGTGGTCACTGCTCCTCAGATGTCTTAAGAGCTAAGAAAGCCATTAGGTATTTTATAAAGATCCATTTAATTACTATTATGCCTAGAAGAAAAGCATAAAAATAGTATTATTTTTATAGAAAAAAATAGAAAAATAGAAAGTTGCATTTAAAAATATCAATGGGGTGATTCAGCATAAAATCCTCAACTTCCATTTGACTACTATTTATTATTAAAATTTAAACCATGCAATCTCCTTCCCTCTACCCCCAGTCAACTCTCACCAATGTAGGGTCAATTTCTTCATTAATAACGACTTCATTCTTAATAAGAGCAACTCGCTGTGCAAATCTGCAGGTTGATATAGACTCCTGGAAGGGAAAAAGAAAAAAACAAGAGAGAGAGAAAAAAAGAAACATCAGTTGGCTTTGCACCAAGTAATTAGAATAGATTGCTAACGAAGTAATAAAACTAAGTTTCTGGGTTTTATGTATTTTACAGAACTAATCTACCATTTCATATTCCAAAACAACAATATTCAACATAAATTAAGTTCTCATATTAATGACAGTAACATATAAAACTGTCAAATCATACTACATATTTTATTGACCTAGTCAATCCCCTGATGTGTTTCAAATGAGTCCCCAGCTGGCACTAAAGGATAAGACAGCCATACTATTCTGGAAGTAAAAACTTTTTAATTATGAGAAAAAGAGAAAATTAAATAAAACAATTGAAAAAAGAAATGATACTAGAGAAGCATATGTAAAAGAAGCTAGGAAAAGACATGAGGTAAGAAGAGTAGAAGTCCAGGAGAAATGTGAAACAAGCTGGGAGACTTGGAACTAGGAGGCATAGAGGAGAACTATGATACCCCATAAAGAACTGTCAGATGATTTTTGAAAAAAAAAAAAAAAAACAGAAAGATGGTACAAGACCAAGGTTGTGGAGGAAACTCTGTGATAACCAGTGCATACTGCCATCTAGAATCCCAAAGCAGTGTTCCATCCTTTGAGTTCAGCCGATACCTATATGCCAGACCCTGCTAGAGAACTTATCACCTAATGAACAAAAAGCCAGCAATTGTTCTTAGTTCGCTCAAAGAATAAAACATCATGCGGTAGTGTTAAAAGTTCCAATAATGCTTGATACAATACCATTTTCTGAGATGTGCCAGTCTGCATTTAAAATATAAGAATTTACACTTAACTGCTACATTAAGAGAACTTTATATATACACATAAAATCAAAGAGTTTTCAAGGAAAGGAAAGGAAGGCCTTACAATTAAGAGAGCTGCACATAATTTTAGCCAGACTCACTTTTTGCTTCTGCTGTACAGTTTCTGTGTGATGACAATCAGCCAATGTGATTTTAACTAAGATATATATTAATTACAATTTTATGCACAGTAGACTTACATATATTTCCACCTGACATTTAAGCTCTGTTCAGTGTGAAACTTCTGTTAAATTAATGAGTAGCTAAACAATTCTGTCTTAAATGTTCATACATAAGCTCTATTTTTTCCATGCCATCAAAATGGTAATCAAACCTTACAGCTACTAATTTCCTAATAATTTTTTCTGCCATGCTTATTGTTACAGCACCTGAGAGGTTCATAAATTTATCAGAATTTGGGGAGCAGTGTAGGGAGATTTTAATTTGGTTTTGGAGCAGGTCTGCTTTCTAGATTGTATATGTTAAAGCAAGAACAAGAAAACTGTCAGTAGCCTACTCTAGATAATTGTTTGGGCTAAACATTCCCAAAATAGAAACGCAGATCACAATGTGAGATATATACACTTCTGAAGTCATATATGAAAGGGTGCCTCCCCCACAATTTACCTGGGTGCATTTGTAACCAGACATCATGCTTGCATAATTATATTAACAAATATAAAAGATCTGTTTTCATTTAACAGTCAATATTCTAAAGAAAAAAAAAAAAGTCTTCAACTAGATTAAGTATGGTTTTAGTATAATGTAATTTTAGTATAATGCTGTCCACTGTATTTTAGAAAACAATCTTAGGCTCCATATTTTTCTTTCTTACTTGCACCATTTCTGATGTTATAGAAAATCAGGAAACAGACTACGAATGGCTTTAAGCAGGGCTCTATGTATTCACATTGCAACATGTTTTAGTAAACAAAGAGAAGAAAACATCAATATATTCAATTCCAGGGCAGAAAATTGGTGAAGGGACGTAAATTTGTTGAAAAAATTCAAAAAATGCTAAATAATCTCACCCACTTCTCTCTCACTCCAATAAACTCTTCTAGTTGCACTCCAAAGAAGTCTACAGAAGTTCTGCAAAGCATTTCAGTGTATAACACATATAGATCTTACCATTATGTTCTGTAGAAATTTCCTTGGAAATATATTTTCATAACTCAAAGATTTATTGATTAAGAACACAGTAAATAAATAAAAAAAGATTTATTACTAGGTGCAAGTAGCTCCCCAAATGCTCCTTGACTTGATATTACTTAGAGAAAAGTATATTTCCTAAAGGATTCATCTACATCTTACTGCAATTTTCACTGATTAAATTATCTCCTGGAAGTGAAGTTAAAATATATTTTTAATAAGGATAAGAAGAAAAGCATATATACTTGAATTGTAAATTGTAATAAAAAAAGAGCAGTATCTTTAGAGAAGTGAAACATTTCTGCTGAAAGTAGATGGAAATAACGTACATCTATGTTTCTTTTATCCATAGAGAGCGTTGCTATCATGGTAGTCATGCAGTTTCCTCCCAGGCTGTCTCTTAGCACTGAGGTCATCATACAGTTTCGGTAAGGAATGTGGGACCGATTTTTCTCTGCAAGGGCAATCATTACCTAAACAATAGTAAAAAGGGAAAAGACTTCTGAATTTGCACGTCCATTAATGATTGACACAAAAGAGAACAAACCCAACTTGCTCAGAAACCTAAACTTCTGATACAACTATGCTCATGCACCCAGTTAGTTGCAAACTCACTGCTTTTGAAATAATTTAGACTTAAATTTCAGTGTATTCCTATGTCTTTGTAGGAGTTGAACCTGAAAGACCAAATAAATTTAATTTATCATACCCTGGCTTCACAGCCTCTCTGCAACATGGGAACTGAACATAATAAACTAAAAACCAGAGACTTTCCTAAGACACAGGAACTTACTGAAAATCTTCCTGATAATTTTTTCTATCATAATAAATAAAGGATAGTATTCAAGTAAAAAAATCCTTAGTATTTGCTAAAGCATGCTTTTAAAATGATACATTCTTAAAGCACATGGTTCTTACAGGGGTCAATAAATTTAATTCTGAGAAAATGCCTTGAAAAGTAAAACACAAATAAAAGGGTGCATGATTACAATGTACTGCTGGAAAGAAATAATTCAGGCTAGAATATATGTGCCTTGGCCAAAAAGGAAATGGTACACCTACAATTCTCAGTGTTTCTTCTCAGCTGTTTATATTATGGGACCTAATTATTATTAAATAAAAAGTTACATTACCTCATGATCTGTTGAGACATAAAAGATTTGATCTGTTAACTGGCAAGGCACTGTACTGAAAAACTGCAGCAATATGAGTTGTGTAAGCTATCCTAAATTATTAGGAGCTGATTTTCCTTTAATAAATGTTACACACCAGCATATATTTTGGTTATGTGGCACTAGATTTTTATTTTAGAAAATTTATTAGCAACTTTTTTTTGTTGGCAGTAGTTTCTCTTAATGGTCTTAAGAAAGTTAAAATTTCCTATTACTATGATCTTACACTGGCAGCCTTGAGAGGGATGAATGCATAATACAAATACTACTGTCTTTAAAGTTTTTTGGAAACTCAGTCCTGGATCAAGGTTTTCAAGTCTCGTACATTACAACCTGTTAGATGGAAATATGTTAAATTTGTTAGTTTATAATATTGTATATAACCTCACAGTAGTCAAGCGTATAGAAACATAGAACCAGAGAATTGTTTTGGTTGAAAAAGACCTTTAAGATCATGAAGTCCAACCATTAATCTAGCACATTGCCATGTCCCTAAGAGCCAGATCTATACACGCAGACTCCCAGTCTCTGCTACAGAGAGACTACAGTCTCAATATAGAAGATAGGAAAAGAGCCAGAGGGAAGTTACACTTTTTCTATTAGAAATGGTAATTGTGTTACAGATAATTTTTTTCTGAAGTTCATGCAGGAAGTCTGTAGCCCAGGTAGAATTTGAACCTTCCCACACTGGCACTGCAAAGTTATGTGACCAGCTCTCATGATGCAGAAGCCACTGTGCTGTCATGTGACAGTCACTTAACACAGAAGACGATGGCTTTCAAGTTCCTTAAGTAAAACCTAAATCACTACGTCAATCTTTACAATTCAATCAGGGAATCTGGAATAAAAAGAGGAAAAATCTGAAGGAAAGGGAAATTACATTCTTTCAGAAAGTGACAGACACCACCTGTACAGAATCTGAAGCTAGATCTTCTAACAGCCAATCAAATGTGATAAGCACAAAATTGCCTCATTTTCAGATGATAAAAATTAAAGAGTTATTACTCTCTTGATACAAAAAACGGTTCTGGGTTGATTTTTTTTTTTAATACTGGTGGGTCTAAGTTAAAAGGTCTTAATGATATTACTGAATCAAGCCTGTAATATGCTGATTTAAACATAATTGAAGGCAGAAAGTTTCACTTTGAGTGGATCAAAAAAAGATAAATTTTTTAAACATGGAAGCTGTCAGAAATGTTATTTTTTGTATAAATGAATCCAATATGAAACACAATAACATGGAACAGGTACAGTCATTCAAAAATAACTTTACTGAAATATTTGGAAATATTGTTAAGCATAAAAGAGCACTGCACATTGCTAAATAGTAATGCAGTCAGTATAGGGAGAAAAGTTTCACACTATCCCATTTTTACCTGTTCCAAATAATGCAATGACACGTTGATATATTTGGCTTCTGTCAGTAAGTGACCTCCTGCCCCAGTCTTTGCAACACGTTCTGATCCAGCGAGGTCTACCAGGTGCAATTTGGAGCGTCGAATAGTTGCAGATCCGGGTTCTTTGCTGGAGATGTGAATAGTGAAAATGCAGTGAGATCGGGTTGAAGCTTCATTCATTGGTGTCTACAATGAAAAGTAAGGAAGAATACTCAATGTTCATTAAATAAAAGCATTTACCTTTTTATAGCTTAAAAAATCTGGAAATTGACATCACCTATTCCTTTTCTTTAATGCCTGCACACACTACATATTAGCAGAACCCAAAAAGGTTTTACTTGGCACTCACATTCTGGCTGATTACTTGGATAAATTTAATTTTGGCAAATTGTACTGCAAGCAAGCAAGCAACTATCCTTGTTTCAAGATCCTTGAACAGTGATGCACACAAGTAAAGCAGCTGGCTTTACTATGCTGATAAATAGTGCTAGAAAAGGGCACCTTGATCAGAGGGAAATGTCTTCATTCCTGATCTCCAAGAGTTTATTAATTTCCCCATTGGTAAGCCCTCCTGTAGGTTGCTTGTTTTTCTAGAAAGCTGCCAGTGTAACTAAGACTAGAACTTTCTGTAAGGCTTTAGACTTTCACAGTTTCATTACTTTTATGAAAAAAAAGAAAATAACTTGGCAAAAACAGCAACAGGATTTTACATGGCACAACGGAGTTTTTGTAACAGGTTTGGCTTTAAATATATTTATTTGAAATAGCTACTGCCATCCTTTGGTAACTAGACACATGAAAATTCTTGGTCAATTTTTAGAGATACTTAGCTCTGGTATGACTTTAGTGGTGTTCCAAATTTAATTGACACAGAAAAATTTAAACAGTTCTCAGATATTTAATTTTAGATTTCAGGTGACTATATGCCATCACACATGCACCTTTGTTTACCTGACATATAAAAATTCTTTAAGCATCTAAAGCCTCTTTCATTTAGGTATATCAAGCTGTTGTTGGAAACTTAAAACTAAAATAATTTCTTATTATACAAATTTTATAAATGGCTAAATCTTTAGAAGATATATCAAGATGAAAGGCATACCATACAAAAAGTAGTTTTATTTAAAACCATTCAAAATATGTTATCTGGGCAGAAATACTTCGCTCGCATAAAAATAAGCTTGTGAAATAAAAAAATAAATGATATTGATTTAGCAACTAAATTATACATATTTACAGCTGCTTAAAATTTAAATTAAAAAATGTGGTCAATTTAATCTTTTGTCTATACTTTAGCACTCTGTTATTCTAGAGTAATTATTTATGCAGGCATAACCTGTGATTCATACTAGATATACCAACATATTAATTTTTTTCTCCATAGTCTGCTTTGGCATGAAACATTTTAGAAGTTAGAACAGACTGCCCATTTCAGGTGTTTAAGGTGTTGTCTTGTTAATCCAGAAAGGAGGGCTCTCAACAGAAAGACTGAAAGCTGAATATTCCTTTACCAGTAATAAAATGAACAGCTATACCTCCTTATGTCCTGGTTGAATTGTCTCCCTTTCAACTTCCCAATATTTTTTTCCAGCACAACTGAACTATTTTGGGAACTGATCCAGCTCAAAAAAAAAGTAAAAAAACCCAAAAAACAATTCTGCAAGCCATAAATATTTAAACTGGATTAGTTTCCCAATGCAGTCACAATGCAGCTTTAGAAAGCCATTCTGCTGGAATAATTGAAAATGGCAGCAATGTGAACAAGTAGGTGGTGTGTAGGACATTCTGTAATGAAATTAGAGCCTTAGCACCATTTTATTTTGGGCTGCTTTACCTAATAAAGCTAAGCTCAGAGGGACAGTGAGGACAGTTTTGATCATCTAGTTTATACAGATGAGGAATTTTGGAACAATATAGGCAAGCCATTGGCTCTGCTCAACTGCCTAGTTTCTAAGGATTTTGCAATCCTGTGAAATGCACATCAGAGCATGGGACTGCAGTCACATGCTAAGCTGTCTTCACAGGCCAAGTTTACCAAATGAGGGGGTAGTGACTTGTAACATGGGAATGAAAACAGGCACGGGGAAAGGTATAAGTATCTTTAGCTTTTACAAGTGAGAAAATACTCCCAGTCATATTTAAAATGCATTTATATTAAGGAAAAATTACATGCTATATAAATGTACTTTATTCAGTAATTCTGACTCCATAAGTAATCAGACCCAGCTTCACTTATTTTACCAAGAGAGCTATGATTTTACTACTCACAGCTCTGTCAAAGAAAACTGGGCATTTTATTTTACCCTCTCAAAATCCCCAACAAAATTAATATTTAAGGACATTTTCCTCAATGGAACTGATATTTGAGGACATTTTGCATTACAGTCATGGCATCAGTCACGTTACACTAAGCCTAAGCCAGATGGAATGTCAGTAGAGGTCTAGCTATGGAAGCACATAGCAAAAGTTGCTATGAAAGAAATAGAAGATATCAGTATACTTCAGAATAAAGATTCTTAAGCAAATTCAAGATTGACTATGCAGCAAACCATCATGAATTTAAAAACAGGCTTTTAGTTTAACCTGTTTAACCTCAACAGAGCCAAAAAAAAAGCCTTAAAGCTTATAAGAAAATAATATCAGGACTCTGAGTTCCAAAAGTTCAGGGCAATACTTGGCCTATTTGTTTTTACTGACTATAGCGATGCACTAGCCACAACTTGTTTTTCTGCATTTCAAGCAGGTCCTGCTGGACTGGTCATTAGAAATTCCGTTGGTTTTCTCTCCACAACTTCTTTCTTCATGTAAAATGAGCAAAGCTGATTTGGAAGTAATTGGCTGCAATCCTAACTGCTATTTTAACAAATTCCTTCAGAGTAGAACCATGCTTTAATCAATACACCAATACTCCTTTTTACAAAATGATTCTATCTCCACTTTGCAGATCCCATACATGGAAAGCTCTATTAGAATTCTTGAAGGAAGTGTAAGGCAATAAAAAATTAAACTGTTAAATAAGACATGATCGTGAAATGTTAATTGCTGTCATAATCCCCCACACTTTGCTACTTTTACCACACAAGTAGACACAAAGCACACAGTAACAGAAAGTACTTGTTAGCATCTTCAGTTAATAAATGAGATTATTTTTTTCTTCTTAGTTTTTTTTCTTTTTCTTTTTTTTTGTTCTTTGTTCTTTCTGTATTACAGATGCAACATCTGAGTATCACCATTCAGCTGTTCAGAAAGTTTACAAACTGAAAACAAACAAACTAGATTTTCTGGACACTCGTTCATAGACTACTAAAAGGTTTCTTCAGTTGCTTTCAGAGTTCATTTTGGCTTTGGGAGCAGTATTCAAACCATATGTATATGAAATCATCCTCACACTAATCTGATGTGATGAAGAAAAAAAAGAGAGGAGTGGTCTGGCTCTCAGCAGATGGTTGCTATTGGGAAGGTTATATATAGAAAAACTGATGAACTGCAGTTTCTCACAAAGAAATATTTTTTTCCAGGAATTCTGTGGCATCATAAACCACATAAGCAGACTTCAGATGCTTCATGATATCACACGAACACTACAAAGGAATTAATGCCAGGTCATCTGCTGCTGCCCATTTGTGGCATGGTAAAAGAGGAATTTAATAATCTTTCAAGGTCATGTTTTGGTAAAGTATCACTGTTTTTTTGATGTTGGAAAATATATAAAAGGGACCATACAACCCAGTCTCCTTTGTTTCCAGGATGAGGACATACTTGCTTTTGCTGAAATTAAATAAACTGTATACAAGCTTTGTGACTTAAATCATTACATCTGTTCACACAATGGTTGCAAGAAGGTGGTTTCTACTTAAATGAGAACATGCAGCACAGCCATATTTAAAGAAACGTCTGAATCAGATGCTTCTTGCAAGGAATACAAGCTCCTGAAAGGTCCAAAGACTTGCCTAAGTTATCCATCTTAACCTAATCATTACCTATCTTAGAGCAACAAAACACCGCATGAGTTCCTCCACTATGCTATACTGAAGACTATGTAAATTGAAGAACAGGAAGCTCCTGCCTTTATATCAGGTAGATGACTTGGACCTTAACAGATTTTAGTTTCCTTTCTGATTAATATGATACAAGTGAAGAGGCTCTTCAAGTGTGTATAAGTACACCTGACACACTTGAAATTGCAAATGTATATGAAAAGATAAAGATCAGAATAGATGCAATCTGACACTTCCTTTATTTCTAAAAGCATCACTTTATCTTTCTATATTTACTCCAAGTAAAGGTTCACAGCCAGACCATGGTAACTGAGGCAACTTTTCAAGTAATTAATATAATTAAACATTCACATTATACAGTGCCTTTTATCCACATAAATCCCAAAGCACTTTAAGGACTACTCAAAGTAGTATGTATGACCAGAGATTGTTTTAACACCCACAGAAATGAAAGCACCTGTGCTGAAATGATGATGCCATTTGGTGCTAATGATGCTATAGAATAGGTTTGTCAGAGTGGAAAAAAATTAACAATTGAACCTAGAAAAGCAGGAACTTGTAATTCATTCTGGAATGTAGTTCTAATGTGGTTTACATGCCTTCTTGGCAAAAGTGTCATTTAATCTAATGTGTTCACACCATCAAATCCTATTTTTCATATTTAATCCAAGAAAAATCCCATTCAAACACTACCAGTGGCTTTCTAAGTATATTCAAGAGAATACTAATGGAGAATAAAAACAAATACAAAGGGAATTAGTCCAATTCAGAGGTCACAGGTCAGTCCCCACAACTATCTTTAAATGTTTCATTCTTTCTTGAAGTAAACACATGTAAACATTTGCAAAAGCCTACATGTATACTTCAAACATTTTAAATGATTCAACAAATACTGTGTAGTATGCACCGTTTTCAAAATTTAAACAATGGACTATTGTAGGTATAAAATCATGCACTAAAACACTTACTTCATTGTTAAAATGAAGTAATTTTTCATTAGAGGAAAAACAATGCTAAATGTACATGCACCTGTATTGTTAAGAGGTACCAATCTCACAAAGATTTTACAGTTTTGAAATTGATGCATGTCCTTGGGAAGCTATTGGATCTACCTTACTTTGGTATTTTTAGAGAAATAGTAAAAAAGTACTAAGCATTCTCTAGATCACAGAGGTTCAGGCATATTATTTCAAAGGACAGGGGTCACACGAGATTCCTATCACAAGAATTTATAAAAGACCACTTCAGCTGAAGAAGTATTAGTAGTGTATCTGTCAAAATAAAATAGTTTGGGAACACTTTCTAAATAGCCACCTATTTATAAACATGAGCTTTTAGATACTGCTGCTACAACTTGTGTCATATGTGCATATTAAATTTTGGAATCTCTTGTTTGTGTGTGTTTGAGATACCTATAGCATAAAGTTGGCTTAGAAAAATAAAATATTAAAAATAAATAATTTTTTAAAATAACCTGTTGCTGAGATTCTTCTTCTTTCAAATGTAACAAGAAACTGTGTTTTATGGTAAAAACAAATGAACAAAAATATAGCTGCCAATAAAAGAACAACTTCTTTGGGTTTGTTCTCTACACATTTCTCCCTGGAAAAACATAGAGACAAAACCTTCTTATTTGATTTTTTACTTTACAAAGTGCTCATGCACAGATGTCTCCCATCTTACCACTTTGGCAAGTTGTACTTGTCAAAAGTAGAGCAAGGATTGGTCCTATACTGACCTATAAACCAATACTCCACAAAGTAGGTTAGCTTCCTCTTTTTTTCATTCTCATGAGCTATATAGTTATACATGGGAAAGAAGTATTCAGTTTTAAACATTCCCTGATATTTAATGAATGAATGAATATAGCTTTTAGAATATTTTTAATATGATGACTTTACTTATGTTTATACATCTTGGATCTTTTAAAGTTTACTCAAAAGAGGTCTTAATAATTTTTGAGATCAAGAAGTGTTATCATAATTCAATTAAGGTTTAGAAATACGGATCTCTGTAGAAGAAGTTATGGTTGATGTTATTAGTTCATTTTCCTAGATATCTACATTAATCCCTCGTTTCTGCAAACACTATTTTCTCATTCTGTTAAGTCATCATATAAAACACCATAGTCACCTAAAGCCAAAAACGCTTAATGATAATGGGTGATAAATTCTGTAACACCTAAGAGAAAGTTCAGTAAGCTCGCTGAACTGTACTGCAACATACCTGCTGTGATTGCAAAGGAACAATGTCTGAGATATCAAAAAAACCCAACAACTTTTACAATGAAATCCACCTCATTCGAAGTTTTACCAATCATAGTAGCATTTAGATTAAGCAAAGTAAATATTGCTGCAATTTTCAAGCAGGTGCCCTGGCAGCCAGGAGGGACAACTGTGTCCTGGGGTGCATGAAGCAGAGAATTGCCAGCTGGCCAATGGAGGTGACTGTCCCACTCTACTCTGCACTGGTGCAGCCTCACCTTGAATACTGTATGCAATTTTGGGCACCATAATATAAAAAAGACATCTAGCTATTGGAGAGAGTCCAAAGGAGAGACACAAGGATGGTGAAGGGTCTGGACTTATGAGGAGTGGCTAAGGTCACTTGGATTGTTCAGCTTGGAGAAGAGGAGGCTGAGGGGTGACCTCATCGCAGTCTGTGGCTTCCTCATGAGGGGAAGAGATGGGGACGGTATTGATGTCTTCACTCCTGTAACCAATGACAGGACTCAGGGAAATGGTAGGACGCTGAATCAAGAGAGGTTTAGCTTAGATATCAGGAAAAGGTTTTTCACCCAGAGGGTGGTTGAGCACTGGAACAAGCTCCCCAGGGAAGTGGTCACAGCACCAAGCCTGCCTGAGTTCAAGAAGTGTTTGGATGATGCTCTCAGGCACATGGTGTGATTCTTGGGGTGCCCTCCACAGGGACAGGAGTTGGTCCTGATGATCCTGGTGGGTCCCTTCCAACTCAGCATATTCTGTGATTCTATGATTCTAAGTATTCTCTGTATTTTTTTAAAGTATTCTTCAATTTAAAAAAAAACAAACCCAAACCAATAACTTTATACTATTCATTCAACAAATAGCTCTTGCGGTGGCAAAAGCAGCAGAAATGACAATGGCACAGTGTCTCCTAACCCAAGCCACTCAGATTAGTGAATTCTCTGCTGTTTCATTCTCATGTTTTCTAGCATGCCCAAAATAAAACTACCAAGTTGTAGATTAAGAAATAAACTAAAGGACATTTTTATTTACACAAGAAAGTTAAATTATGGAATATTTGTGTTCACACAAGATTTTTTATAAACATTTACTAAGGTCAAAAAAGCATCTAGGCAAATTCATGTAAAGGAAAAATATAACAGAAGTTATTAGCTAAAAATAGTCTGAAATACAAACCAATTAAGATTAGGAAATATATATATTAATAATTATTTACTTGGTGTATTTTTTACTCATCTCTATGTATTTGCTATTGGCCACTGTTCAAAACAGGAAACTGAAGTAGACATGTCTTTGGTCTGACCTACTAAGAATTATTTTAGTTTTACTGAGCATTACTTCATCTTGACATTTAATGACTTATTATCTTCATTAGTTCTGTTATTTGTTCATGACTTTCAGCATTTGGGATATATTTTCTCTTTAGGCAACATTTTCCAAATATGTAATACTGTTGCCCTTTGCAATTGCTGATTTATGACACCATTTAAATATCATGTCTCATTTTTGTACACAGCTCCTCTAAAACTGATCAGAGATTTCCTAAAGATCTTTCTTCATGCAATGAACTTTATTTTTCTGTTTTTATTATGAACTACCATTACAGCTTTTCAGGCTTTTGAACTCAGTGTCATCTTTTTGTCTCTTTTATTACACTTTTCCAGTTCATCTCCTCTAAATTGTATGGTTTTCCTTTTCAATCTCTTTAAAGGGTTCCTTGCCTCAACATTCTTATTAACAGCCCTTAAGTACAGCTTGATTATCTCTTGCCTTTACATTTTTGTGCCTCTCAAAATGTCATTGCTGCAACAGTGTCCCTTGAGAAACAGAGAACAAATCGGTTTTTTTGCCTGTTCATATTTTGCAATCAAATCCTTCTTTCCCTGTTCCCAGGTGTACATAGTCATCTAGGAGGAACAGAAAGCTACCTGACTATTTAATACACTTCAAATGTCTTTCTCTTAATGGATTTATTACATATCTTCTTCATCAGAGAGAGGAAGAAAACTCACAGATTTCTAAAATATAATTAGCTGTGTTGTGGTAAAGACACACTGTCAGTGCTCACATTATACAATACACTTTTTATGTTTACATTCCATTTCCAAATATGAAGATAAGGGAAAGAAAAAAAACCCACAGATTTTCATAGCTAGATATGGAAACAATTTAATGTGAGTTTTCCAGAATCAGTAAAAACACTCTTGTCTTAGCATACTGGCAAATATTTACTTGAATGTGCTTCACATTGCCATTTCTTTTTTTATATATAACACCAACTGTCTATGCAATAAGAAGAAAAAAGAGAGGACTGCTGACTCTTACTGTAACTACTTTAAAGGTAACTTAGTACTTCTGTCTGATTGTTTGACAGTGCTCTGTAAGGCCATGTTTTCTAACCTTTAAATGTGTACATATGTTGATACATGTCACATTCAAAAGTCAGTCTATGGTTTACGAAAAAAATTCCTTTCTTACTTCTTTTAATTGCAGTAAGTTATGAAATCAACAACCACCAGTCAGGTTTAGTAAGGAAAAACAGAAAGCTCTTTACAGAGTGAAAGCTATAATCAGAGAAATGCTTGTTTAATTTCACTGTGGAAATATACTCTGAAAGAAGATACATACTCATTTATCTCCAAACTTATTAGCTTCCAAACTGTACATCTTATGTGGAGAAATTCATCACCATTTTAGCTCTGGTAGTGTTAAGAAAGACACGTAGCAGCAATTCTAACCTCAGCAATCATTCTGTTGGTGTCTCCCAAGAAGAGCAAGTTTAAGGCTTCCTCCTCATTAGTGGCTCGCTGAAGAGACAAGTTTTTCAGATGAATGTTCTGATCTGCGTCTTCCATTATTGTCACTTTTCTACATGAAAAAAACCCACAAAACAAAACAAAGAGAACACCAGAATTGTTGTAAGGCGATCTTTGTTCCATAGTTTCATTTCAATTGTGCCTAAATATGACATCTAAAACCCCAAACCAATCATAATAAAATAACTTAAAATATTAAGAGTAAACAATGCAAGTCACCTCCTTTCTACTCCTTTATTATAAACTCCCACATAGAAAAGGAATATATACAATCTAAAACTATCAAATAAACCTTTGGGATTTTTTTATATGATGTAATAAAATCTTTAGAGCAAGAGGTTAGAGGAATCATTACAAACAAATAACAAGTAGAGGTTTGTTTGCCATTGCCACAACTATTAAAGCACAAATGATACACAAAGCATACCATAACCTTGATAAACAGACAAATATGGAATATTTCAGAACCAACACATCTGTAGTCAATGTGATTTTAATAACGTTGCATTTGTCAAAATTATTTCTCTTTTCATTCTTCTCAAATGGCAATAACTACAAGTGTAAATTACTCCTTTCTTTAATTAAAGGCAAGGAAACAAGAATATTGTCATTTATTTGGACTGAAGTTAGAAATGCTCTTAGTTGTACTACTTTAAGGCGTAAAGTTTGCAGAAAGGATGTTAGATGGAACTAGCAAGGATATTAAAGCCCCAGGAGAGCTACTCTTCTATAAATTGTCCTTTTACATAAGAAGTTTTTTTGATCAGGTTACTGACAGTTAAGCTTTATTGGCTTTACTAAGTAGCCATCTCCTCAGTTAGGACTTTCTCTAGCATGCAACTATTAAAAAAAAAACTATTAAAGACTATTAAAAGTGAAGTACACTAATGCTGAGGACGAACGACATGTCCTTTGGGGTGATTAACATGTTCTGAGACAACTTACCATAAGCAAATTAGAATTTTTTTTGAAGTTAGAAGGTTTAAAAACCCCCAAAACATTATTTTTCCCCCCCTGTTACTATAGACTACATATATATGTATACTTGTACATATATGTGTGTGCGTATTATCTATTTTATCCATATTCTTCGATGTTAACCACAAGAGGGAGTATGGGGCTTGAGTTTTTGACTCCAGATCTTGCATGGTAATTACTCCAAGCTGCTTCAAAAACACACAGGTTAAGGTTTGTTCTGCTTTTCTTTTCTTATTTTCTTTCTTCCAAATCTGACAAATCAAATTGAGCAGCATTCCACAGTATTACTCGTAAGTATTAGAGAAGTATTTCACTCTCTGATGCTTAAAACACTGGAATGGATATACAGAAGTAATTTGAACATATATACCCTCACTATTTTCAAGAAGAAAAGTACATGTAAAATTACACACAATGCTTCTTTAATAGTCATAACAACTGTTTTTTCAAGTATGCCTTCCACTTACAGCCTTATTTTTGTGTGGTAGTGAAAGACAGCATGCGCATAGTGACAAAACACTGCTTCCCCCATTGAGGGCACAAACCCAAAAGCATAATTCTGCTGTTGGATAACAGTGTTTTGACAATGTCAAGTTGTATTCTGTCGGCAATTCCATCTGTGCATGCATCACACACTAAAGCCCCGAGTGGATCTGATTACAGCATGATGCTTTGACTAATTGTAGTATTTTGAAATTGCATGTTAAGCATCATCTTTTATAGTTTAGGAAACCAATCTTGTTTTACCATGCACAGTTGGCATGGTATTTAAAATTTTAAGTATCTTTTCAGATTATACTTTGAGCAGTGGTTATAAATATTTTCCAGACAAGAAAGATATTAGTTTGGATTAAAAGCTCTGGAGGATTACTATATTAAAAAAGAGACAGTGGCAACATCACAAACCAGTGAGAGCTTCCTATACAGTGGCCTCGCAGTTACTAGGAGGATTTCCAGATGAAAGTCTAAGTTTGCACATTCTGAGAGGCATCTGTCAAAACTTCCTCAGAAGGACATGTTCCAAAATGACAACAAAATTATTTATTTTATACTGGTATAAATTTACTGTATAATATTATTATAGATTTGTACAAAACATTCTCTGTACTAGTCGTATCTTTAAATTTCATTGCCCTAACTTGGATCTTGAAGTGGAAAAGCTCTGCTAGGTTATCGATTATGACTGAAAGAAGGCAGAGACAAAATTTAGTTTTCTTTATAAAAAAAGAATCTTTTCCATTTGGTTTGATGGATGGAATTCATAGATGACTAGGAAACCTGTAGGATGGGATCAGCCTTTTAAATATTGTTATTAACTCAGGCCCTTTCCTGCATCAGCTGAGCTGCCATCAATGCAATAGAGCCTTAGACATTGAATGTTTCCATTTATGAAAGTCGTCTTAATGACAAACAACGAAGTTAAAGCTTCCTTTGATTAACTAATACCAACTCAATAATTTTTGTAATATAAATAAAAACAACTTAAATGATTTTGGAAAGCAAATGGAGATTTTAAAAATCAAGTTGCCTGTGATTATATGTCTCTAAGGCTTAGAACTGAAGACATCTAAAATAATCTCAGGAACTTTATGAACACTTAAATTTTAATTGTAATTATTTAAGCAAATCATACATGAGGATACATATCTTCTATGACAATGCATTAGCAGAATATAATGATACTAGTATCGGTGATGTCCAGTGATAGGACAAGCGGCAATGGGTGCAAGCTGGAACACAGGAGATTCCATGTAAACATTAGAAAAAGCTTCTTCACTGTGAGAGTGACAGAGCACTGGAACAGGCTGCCCAGAGAGGTTGTGGAGTCTCCTTCTCTGGAGACATTCAAAACCTGCCTGGATACATTCCTGTATGAGCTACTCTTGGTGATCCTGCTCTGTCAGGAGGGGTTGGACTAGAAGATCTTTTGAGGTCTCTTCCAGTCCCTAACTCCTAACTAAGTCCATGATTCTGTGATACTTTAGCATGCATATAAAGACAATAACAAATTTAGGAAAAAGATAGAACAGAAAAACAGCAAACGTGCATCTTGGAGTGTGTCCAGAAGAACAGAATAAACTAATGGATAATTACAGCTAATCTTTGTGTAAAGTTGCAAAGAGGTTTCATTTTTTAAGAAAGAATGGCCAAGATCTAAATTTTATGCATCATCAAAAAAAAAATATCCTTTAGATGTATAGCTTCCTGAATACCACATCAGAGTGAGCACTGCTTCCAGAGGCAAGGTAACAAAGTTATTCAGGCACCAAAACAGCTTTCAATAGCACAGAGATTGGATTTTCCACTGAATTATAGACCTAGTGCATAATTTCCTTAGCTTGTGAGACATTACAGAACTATGAGTAAGTATTGGTGCAGGCTATTCTCTTGACACAACATATTGTAACAGGAAATCCTTACTACTGTCTCAAATGAATTCTACATGCAAGACAAGAAAAACGCTGTTTTCTTGTTCTACGTTTTATGGACATAGGAGTGTATTGATACTGACTGAGAGACTGTGGGACATTTAGGGATCAGTGATCCATGTAACATTTAAGAGGTTAAATGTAGGCACAGCCTGTGCTGTGCTGCATGCACAGCGTGGCATTCAGGTCTGTATTGTCCTGCACAGACTCTTTGGCTGCAGGATAAATTCAGCCAGGTCATTGCAATAGAAGAGTCTGTGGGCAGCTCCCTTGTGATCATCACAACACCTACATGGCCCTGCCTCTATCAATAAGTGCTGCAAAAAGTATTAATGAGAGCACGTTTTAGAAATGGAGCTTTTTACTTCTAAGGAAGTTAGAATGACCATAAGAGACAGAGAGAGCTTCTCTCCAAGGACAGGATCTGTGCTGCTCTGCACTGCGTACCATTGGGAAATTCATTCAGGCTCCATCCAATGCCGAATGAACATGTGGTCCCCTGCATCTGATGGGATTTAAGATTTACTTGCCACTTTCTTATTCTGCATTATTAAAGCAGACACTTTACTAAGCCATTTGTTGTTGAGCCTTTCATACTGAGATCTGGTAAGAGCCCTGCACCAGCTCTCTTTCCCCCCCTACCCTGTCATGCAGAGCAAGGAGTTGGAACTGAAACAGTGAGACTGGTTTTTCATGTACAAATAATCATACAAGATCTGTTAGAATTTACAGGCAACTGCAATAATTTCACTCACAAAAAATGTTTGTTAAATAATACACTGATTTTAAATGTAAAGTTGCCTTGAATAGCACAGCAATAATCTTAACTGAGTTAATTTCCTCATCTATGTCTTTAGAAAAGTCACCTTAGAAAAATTTCACTGATTTCTCCCTACTGGTATTCAGGAAACAAATCAAAATAAATGGATGGGAATAAAAAATACATAATGTATGCCAAAATTATTTTGCACATTTAAAGTGTAATTTGTTAGAACTGTAATGAGCAGAACATAATCTTTGAAGGAATTATTCAGAATAGTTGTCACCTCATTCCCCATGAAAAAAGAGGAAAGCTTAAGTTTACAAATCTTAAGATTCTCCTAATCTTTCACATTTAGTAGTAACACACCAAACACTTTGTTTTGAAAGGATGCGTTTCACATGAAAGAGTGAGCTATTATTATTAGACTTAGAAATTTTAAAATACTGGTAGTTCTCAGAACACTGAAAATTTAGTTCTGAAGATCTGTGGATGGTGGCCAGGGGTTATGTCAGCCCTTCCCCTTTTCAATGGCTGAACCAAATATGTAATCTGTTGTGGGAAACAGTTCAGCCACTGAAAGGGGGAAGGGCTGACATTAACACTGCTGAGCCTGGAGATGGGAGATAGGTGCATTTGTATTAAAAAAAAAACAGACAGTAAAATATATTTCCTATATATTGAAAATTATTCCTTTAGATTATTTCAAGTTTTGTTTTCTTTTGTTTTGCTTGTTTTTCTTCTTCTCTTTTGATAAGCAGCACAGGAATTAGCATATTATTTGGTTTAGAATATAAACTAATTTGAGGTAATTAACCAATATTAATTTACAGATTAAAAAAATATATATATTTACCCTGACCCCATGGAACCTAACAGTTATGG